TTTAAAACGAAATTAAAATGTTTTGAATGAGTGTTTATTAAACAGTCTATGGAAATACGACTTATTTCAGCAGTCACGTGATTACATAAACTACTTTGATTACATTTACACAAATATACACGAATTCACAGTGAAATATGTGTCGAGTTATTTACTGTCCGACAAGACTAAACAGTACTGGTACCTTTACTTTTCTGTACTGCCTTAAACGATTATTTTAACTCAGTGCTCTGGAACTTTGAAGTACAGTATTTGAGAATTCCTATCCCATAAAGTTATCACACGGCACTAAGCCAAGATTATTCATATACGCAAATTCGGATAAAAATATTTTTTGCTACCAGGCTGTTGTTAATGGATATTTTCCTATCCCAATTGTTATACTTTATAGAGTGTAAGCTCTGAGGGAGTCTTTATTTAGTGCGCCGAGACGTTGAAAGACAAATAATCCCGATCGAGATATATTCATTCTGTTCGAAATGCAACTGTTTACGATCGGAACATATATCTCGTTCGACGATTGGTTCTGTCTGGCCTTGGATCTTAAATAACATCTATAGTAAAACTGTTCCATGTTTGCAGTGAACATGGGTCAGCTTCATTTGCATAAAGAGAGCGATTAAAATTCAGTCAATGAGCAAATTGCTTACAGTTTCGCGATACAACCTCTATATTATTGAAACTCTCGTTGCAGAACTTCCTGCTACTGCTGTGTATACTGCGATAAACATACCGACTGCTCTATTAATCTATCAAATCGATGACGTCATTACACAGGCTCGTGCAGCGTTTAGTTTGAGTTTATGAACATTTATGGCTTTATACAATTTAAAATGACTCCAAAGTAGACGTTCAGTGACATATATCTGTGGGAACATTAATATAGTCATTAATTTTATTGTCAACTAAAATCAAAGTTTGAAAGCAAAAAGTCCATAGAAATGAAAGGGCCTATGTTTGAAGTTCCGTGTATTTATATTATTTGCGTTTTGCAATAGAAGAATATGCAAGTATTAAAAAGCATTAACGTTATTTGTGTTCTCATTTCGAAGTCGTCATATCAACTTATTCATACCTTACGTATC